TCCTCCTGCCTCAGCCTCCTGAGTGCTGGGATTACAGGCGTGCACCACCACACAAGGCGCTTGCTGTTGTAATTTCTAAAAACATTTCACACATTGACCTTATCCACCCATCACACCTCCTGTTCCCAGGCACTCTGGCCTGCCCAGGATGGACACACAGTGAATTTCCTAGACATATAATCAGTGAGGCTGGACCCTCATCAAAAAGACACGGGCCCAAGAGTGAGCCTGCGTCACTGAGCAGGGCTCAGGTCTTGTGGGTCCGGGAGGTCAAACGCATAAAGTGGAGAAGGTGCTTTCGTGATTATGTAGCAACAACGGCAGTCTGTGGGGCTGGGCTCCCGTGGAGGTGACAACGCACACGTAGATCAGTCTCTCTCTCTCTCTCTCTCTGTGTGTCTCTGTCTCTGCCTGTCTCTGTCTCTGTATCTTTCTATCTCTCTCTGTCTCTGTCTCTATTTTTCTGTGTCTGTCCCTCTATCTCTGTCTCTGTCTCTCTGTTTCTGTCCCTCTGTATCTCTATCTCTCTCTGTCTCTGTCTCTCTGTGTGTCTCTCCCTTCCTTCCTTCCTTCCTCCTTTCCTCCCTTCCTCCCTTCCTTCCTTCCTTCCTTCTCTTCTTTTTATTTGCAGTACTGGTGGTGGTTGAACCCAGAACCTTTATACTGATTTACTGATCTTTTTAAAGTTTTTTATTTCAAGATGGGAATCACACGCATTAGCTGTATTTCCCAGCTTGTAACTCTCCTGCCTCAGCCTCCCAGAGTGCTGGATGACAGACGTGCACCACCACAGCCAGCTGGGCTTCTTGGACCTCTCAGTTTTTCATTGGTTGAATTCTCTGAGGAGGACAGGGTGCCTTACCAAGACGAGGTTCCCAGTTGCAGCCTATTCTAGAGTCTCTGAGGATGCTTCTCTGATTTACGGGACAAGATGATTCTTATTTCAGCTGATCCGGAAAATTAAGTCTCCAGAGATCGCCTGTAGTTGGCTTGGACCATTCATGCCCCATCTCTCTTGTGGTGCTGCTATGGTCACTAACGAAGTCAAGGTCAAGAGCAGGAGAGGAATATATTGACCTCCTGGTAGCACATCCCACCATGTGCAAATCAGGAAACTGAGACCTGTGATGGTGAGAGTCAAGCCAGGTGTGGTGACGCACACCTATATCCCCAGCAGTCAAGAGGCTGAGGCAGGAGGATTGCTGTGAGTGTGAGGCCTGTCTGGGCTACGTACCGAGTCCCAGGCCAGCCTGGGCTTCACAGCGAGACTCTGTCTCAAAATAAACGTGAGCAGTCATCCAAAACTAGACACCACCCCCTTGTGTGTGTGTGTGTGTGTCTCCCATCCCTGAAATCGATCCACCCTGGAATCCACCACCTCACCCCTTCTGACCGTCCCTGGAATTCTTCCTCCCCAGCTGGAGTGATGATGGTACCTCAGCGAAAGACCGAGGATGGATTTGAAGAACACTTTGGTCTCAACTACTTGGGGCACTTCCTGCTCACCAGCCTCCTCCTGGACAGCCTGAAGGAGTCCGGATCCCCAGGTCGCAGCTCCAGAGTGGTCACCGTCTCCTCTGCCACGCATTACGTGGGCGAGCTCAACCTGGAAGACCTGCAGAGCAGGTGGGCTGCAACCTGGGGCGCTCCTGGCGGTACTCCGGGAGCCAAAGGTGTCCCAGCTTCTGTGTATCCTCTGGGTGCCTTTGCGAGCTATACGCGGTGCTCAGGAACCCCAAAGACTGTGTGGGTCACCTGCTGTTCGGTCCCTGTCCACAGGCAGGGGTCAGACATAGAGAATGGCAACAGTGTTTAAACCTGCTCCTCCCGCCCTGTTGAAAACACCACTGACTGCATTGATCATTTTGCTGTCACAAGGACAGAATGGTCAGCATCTGCCCCTTAAAAGATGAGAGGTTTCTCGTGCGCATTTGTCTGGTGGGTTCAGTCCATGGCTGCCGACTCCACGGCAGAAACAATATAGTGGGGGAAAGGAAGCAGAACAGACAGGAAAGAACTCAGAGAGAGACACACACTTTGAGATCACGCCCATGGGGACCACCTCTCCCGGCCAGGCTGCTCCACCTAACAGCACATTCACAAGGAACTCATCCACGGAATCATCCACTGATGACCTCCACGGTCATCTTCCAGAAGCCCCACCCTTGAACTCCTAAGGCTTGTGGGGGCATCGCAGGTGTGATCCATGACACCACCAAATCCACGTGCTCTGACAGCCAGAGCATTGTCCTCTAATCAGCAGATCTCTTTGTGAGATTCCTTCTAATCCCTCACCTGTGTTTTAAATGTTTTAAATATTCCTTCCAAACTCCCTGTGTCGGAGTTTTAATCCCCCCATTCATATGTTGATGGTTTTAGATGGTCACGTGACCCAGTGAGCATGGGGCCCTCCGATGACGTTAGTGGATTTATGAGAAGAGGAAGTGAGACCCAAGCTAGCACGCTTGCTCTGCTCCTCTATAGAATGCCTCATGCCACGTCAAGATGGAGCAGGAAGGCCCTGACCACGTGCCGAGGTCATGCCCTTGGCCTTCCGGGCTCCAGAACTGCGAGCTAAATAAAGCATTTTCTATTAATTCCCCAGTCAGGTGTTACAGCAACACAGAATGAAATAAGACATGTGCCTTAAGTGTAAAAGACATCATTCCATGTGAATAGGTGTCTACGTCCAGCCCTTGGTGGCTGACAGAGAACAGACCCTGGTGTCCTGAGGCCTGCATGCAGAATTCCACTGCAGTAGTCTCTCCCTATCTGACTCCATCGGGGCCACCATATGCAATCCCACAGCCCGGGGGCTGACACACAGCAGAGCTTGGTGGCCCAGTCCTGGAGGCTGAGGTCCACTGCGCTGGTCTCTCCCTATCTTAGTCCATGGGGCCGCCATATGCAATCCCACAGCCTGGGCGCTGACACACAGCAGAGCTCGGTGGCCCAGTCCTGGAGGCTGAGGTCCACTGTGCTGGTCTCTCCCTATCTTAGTCCATGGGGGCCGCCATATGCAATCCCACAGCCCAGGCGCTGACACACAGCAGAGCTCGGTGGCCCAGTCCTGGAGGCTGAGGTCCACTGTGCTGGTCTCTCCCTATCTTAGTCCATCGGGGCCACCACATGCAATTCCATAGGACAGGCAGCTGATAGCAGATTTTGGTCTTCCCAAGGCCACACTCCCTCTGGAGGATGCAGGGGAGACCCTCCTGCCTCTGCCTCCTCCTGAGGCTCCAGGCATTCCTGGGCTATAGCCCATCGCTCCAGTCTCTGCCTCTGTCTTCATGCGGCTTCTCCTCTGTGTCTGCGTCTCTTCTGCCTCTCACGAGGAGGCTGCTGTTGGATGCAGGGTGACCCTGACCACAATGGCCTTGTCTCCACATGCTGCACTCCTTCCCTCTGCGGAGACCCGGTTTCCAGTGAGGTCCCGTCCCCGAGGCCAAGGTCAGGACTTCCACCCTCTCTCTTGAGAAGTACAATTAAACCCCCAGTGTTTGTCTCCCTCCGTTCTGTTTCCTCCCCAGTTTGATTGTGTGAAATTAATCCTGATGACAGTCATTTATCTGAGCCACTTTACATTTATGCTGATTGCTCTGCTGGAAGTGAAGAGCCTGCGTTTTGTGCAGCAAACTCCAGCTCTGGGATGGCCGTCAATTTTCTCTGGGTCTGGCACAAACTCCTCCCAAATAGGGTTTCCTTTCACAGTCTGCGGACTTGGTTACCGCTTAAAAGCCGGGATATTTTAAGCATATACTGTCCTAGGCTCATGACAACAAAATCCCGTAGCTTGAGCTGTGTAGACTGCAGACGCTTCCCTCCCAGGCCTGAGCCTGATGGCCAGGCATGGGCAACACCAGCTCCTCCTGGGCAGGGAGATGCTGACTGCTCCCCATGTCCAACACTCAGGTCCTCTATGTGTGTCTGTGTCCTCCTGTCCTCTGCTCCACTGAAACTGGTCCTGCTCAATTAAGGACCGCCTTCCTTCTACAAAGGTCCTGTCTTCCAACACATTTCGTTCTCAAGTTATAATGTTTTGATTTATCGTATTAGGACATTAAAATGGTACGGAAACCACACACGTTTGTTTGGGTTTAGACCTGGAAGCTTCCCCAGAAGTCTCCTGTGTCTCTTTTTCTGTTTCCCATGAAGGCACCACTATTGGATTCAGGCCCACGCTGGCGCAAGATGGCCTTGTGTCTATATCCTCAGAAGTGAGGCTTTATAAAGACGATTCAGTCTTGCCGGCGGTATACTCAGTCTTCCCCCTCCCTTAACTCACACTGGCATCTCTTTCACAATGGCCGGCTCCTCCCTTCTCTCTCTGCTTCCCGGCCAGCATTGGGTGAGCAGCTGTCCTCTGCCACGCCAGTCCGCCATGTTATTTCCACCATGGACTGAACCCTCTGAGACCGTAAACCCAAGTGAACATCTCCTCCTTCGCTTATGGGTGTCAGGGGGTGTGCCCCTGCAGCAAGCAACCTGACTGGCATGCATTCAGTATACAGCATACTTAGAATTTGTTTTCCTTTTTTTGGTATCAGAAATTGAACTCAGGACCTTGCACTCACCAGGCAGGCGCTTCTGCAGCTGAGCTACATCCCCAGCCCTGTACTTAGAATTTTCAGCTCCATCTTTTCCTAGGCTTGTGACATGCAGAATAATACTATATCCTGGTGCTTGAACTTGGGGAGTCTCCATTCATTCAGGGCCTGTATTCTGTTGGGGATGTAACCCACACTCTTCAACATGCTTTGCTGTTATTCTCCATTTCCTGGGCTGTGTGTGTATCACATGCATTTTTCACTTAGGATAGTCGTATATTGCAGTGAGTTTCTTGAGCTATCGTCCCAATGCAAGACAAGGGCCCACTGGGTAACCTTGGACATTCACTCCAAGGTCCTCATTTAGTTCATGAGGACCTCAAGATGTGAATGGAGGGGTCGCCCATTCCAAATCTCACCAGGAAGTTACCACGCACACAACTTCCTGATGGAGGTTTGAAGCATCTCCACCAGGGTGTTGACATGCAGGGGCAGCCTTGGGTCCCGCAAAATAGCAGCGGACATTTCACCTAGTCAGCTGCCCCACAAACCTCCCCGTAGCTGGCAGAGTGCCCCCAGCGCCCCAGCCAGCCCCCTGTGAACTCTTACTGTTTTATTTCAGTATGTTTTCATGTTTCACTCCTTCTCCTGCCTGTGTGGAGCTGCAGGCAGGTGTGTTGACCCAGTGAGAATGTCTTAGGAATTACTTCGAGAGACATTTCTTGGGAATCGCCTTGGTTTGAATGTCTCCAGCAAAAGTTACCTGGAATGGAAACACTCTTGTGAGCTGTTAAGAGGTAGAATCCGGTGGAACGTTGAGTAGGCGATGATGATTCAGCCGTCCTGCATGAATTAACCCACCCTGGATTCATGGGTATGTGGTTTCTTTCCAAACGTGTTTGTCAGCAAGGCTCTGTCTTCTGGATGTGCACATTTCCGTGATGCTGTGCACCCCATAGACTGTGAGGGGGTCCCCACCAGCCAGTAAGACTTCACCATAGACCTTCATCCTTGAGCCTGCAGAACCGGGAGCTTTATGGCCTTGATTCTTTGCAAATCACCTGGTCTGTGGATTTCCACTATAGCAACAGAAAATACTGTCAGAGGGAGACTGTCTGGCTGGCTTCTCTCTTGGGAAACATTTGTGAAACGTTCCTCAAAACACAGCGAGTCTCTGTTGCCGTGAGGCCCCGTTCCACTCCCTGGGCTCTTTCTTCTTTCTGCCTAGCATCTATTTGCGGCAGGATCAAGCGCTGCATGCCTAACCTGCAGATCGCCACCTTCATTTCCTCGGCACTGACATCCAATATTTTTAAATCCAGGGACACGAGCAGGTGCCAAAATCCATCACATCTCTAATGTGTCCAGAAAAGCACTGTCTCTATTAACATCGCATTTGTTATGCGAAAAGGTTGCAAGGTGAATGTTCCGATGTGTGTTATTTTCGGAGTAATTGTTAAAAAGCTGGGCACAACCTTGGGAGCCAGGGAAGAGAGTCTCAGAAAGATGTCACAAATGTCACACTAATTACCATTTGATCACAACGCCTGAAGGACTCGGATGCCCCTAGGTCATTCAGTAAGAGAGTGTTAAGGTGTGTGTTTTAGTTGGCTGTGGTTAAACTCTGCAGCCCTGAGTTTAACTTGCAGTAGAGGGGTCTTCCTTGCTGCAGAGGGAGTATGTTTCTGCATGTGGTGTCCAAGGACAGGACACAACTGCCTAAGAATGTCGCCCACGTTGAATGATGTTCATGGCAGGAAATAGGTACCACATAGAGGGCATCGCGGATGTTATGCCCTTGATCTGACCTTGGAAGGATCGGGCATTCCTAAGCCAGCATTCCTGACGCGCCCCGAAGATGTTGTATTAGTCTTCTAGGGCTGCCATAGCAAAGTCCAGCTGCCTGGTCCGCTTCATCTGCAGAAGCTTCCCGACCTGCAACCCAGAAGCTGAGGCCGAGGGCCGGGTGTGGGCGGTGCCAGCTCTTCCCGAGGCCGTGCTCCTGGGTTTGGAGATTACGTGCCCTCCCTGTGCCTTCACACTCCCATCCCTCTGTGTGTGTCTCTGTCTTCCCGTCCT